TTTGTTGATGGGCACTTAGGTTGTTTCCAACTCTTTGCTATTGTGAACAAAGCCGCAATAAATATGGATGTGCATATATCTGCTGGGGTGGCCTTATCTTTAACACAATTATGTGTCGATTCCTCACAGGACTGTGGGGCAAGACGTGTGCTTGTGATGACGTGAGGTGAACCCTGGCAGTTTACTCTCTGGGGGTAGCAATGGGTGGCTGAACTCTGACCCCAGCCTGACTCCTGCCCTCTGTCCTCACTCCCTGCAGACATCTCCGTGAGCCTGCTGTCGGTCATCGTGACGTTCTGTGGCATTGTCCTCCTGGGCGTCTCCCTCTTTGTGTCCTGGAAGCTATGCTGGGTGCCCTGGCGGGACAAAGGCGGCTCGGCTGTGGGCGGCCCCCTGCGCAAAGACCTAGGCCCCGGGGTCGGCCTGGCAGGCTTGGTCGGAGGTGGTGGGCACCACCTCGGGGCTGGCCTGGGCGGCCATCCGCTGCTGGGCGGCCCTCATCACCATGCCCACACCGCCCATCACCCACCCTTCGCCGAGCTGCTGGAGCCTGGCAGCCTGGGAGGCTCAGAACCCCCTGAGCCTTCCTACTTGGACATGGACTCATACCCAGAGGCTGCGGCTGCTGCGGTGGCCACTGGGGTCAAACCAAGCCAGACGTCGCCTGAGCTGCCCTCGGAGGCCGGGGCAGGCTCTGGGCTGCTCCTGCTGCCTCCCAGTGGCGGGGGCTTGCCCAGTGCCCAGTCTCATCAACAAGTCACAAGCTTGGCACCCACCACCAGGTGAGAGGGAATACGGAGGGTGGGTGGGCCACTCTGAACTCCTGCTTTTCTTCAGTGTCTGTGTCTCATCCATGGCTCCCCTGAGCCCTGAGGGGGGGAAAAAGAGGGCTGAAGGCCTTTGCCTCGGCAGGGGGCTAGGCGTGCATGCGGACTTGTGTGGATCTTAGAGAAAGAGAAGGCCCTGGATGCAAGGTTGGAGGGATGAAGGGTCTAGATGGCTGAATTTGGGGTTGATTGGGGTCCAAGACTTCTGGATCTGAGGAAGGAGGGAGCTGGAGCTCTTGGATCTGAGAGAGGAGAGAAGTAGCGGTCCAGGAAGTCAAGGACACGTAGATTCTAGCATCAGGTAGTGGAAGAAATGAATCTTAAGCATCTCTCTCTAAGCCAGGGTTAGTGATGGGACCTGGAGCCCAGGCATTCTGTCCATTGTGTACTGAGCAGGGAGAGGCCTGGTAGGATGCTGTGTAAAATCTTGGCTCGGCTCTTTGAATTCACCAGCTTCTCTGTGGGGAAAGATGGGCAGTCTCCTCCTCTGACAATTTACAGCCTCAGCGACCCGATGGAGGGGTCACCGTGAGTTACAGCACTGACCTCACAACAGCAGGCTGGTCTGCAATGTGAGCACGAAGCTCTGATCAGGTTTAGCATACGGCTACTAACCAGAAGGTCGCCAGTTCGAACCCACTGGAGAAAAAGACCCGACGATTTGCTCCCATAAAGATTTCAGCCGGAGAGACTCTCTGGGACAGTTCTGCTCTGGCTTCTTGAGGGTGGTTGTGTGTGAGCCGGACTTGACTTGATGACACCCAACAATAACACGACCTAGGAATCCCTGGAGTGACGCAGGTGCTTGAGGCATCATCCGCTCACTGAGAGGTTGGGAGTTCAAACCCCCTCGGGCGCCCCCTTTGCCTCCTAAAGGAGCCATCACAACCTTGAGATATCTGGGGAGCGGTCTAACTCCTCACACGTGGCGGGGGTGGAATCCACTCCACAGAACCTTCCTGTTGTTATTGTTGGGTTTTGCTTCGTCTGAGACCTGAGCTTTTTGGCTGGTAGGCGCTGGAGAGTTGGTTCTGACCTTCAGTGGCCCCACGGATGAGAGGAGGAGACTGTGCGCCCTCCTCACGCCAGAAGCTCATATGCTATGCTGGTCCGCTGCATAGAAGATGCTTTCCCATCGAGGACCCCCCACTCTACGGTGTCCTTGCGCCGGGACTGGGCCCTCCTGACGCAGGAGAGACGCAGTCTCACCGTCCTTGCTTCTAAGGAGCTCTCCTGCTGCACGTCTTTTAAGCCAGATTTGCTCATTTCTCTTGGTAATCCACGGCGTAGTCAGCATTTTCCTCCAACTCAAAGGAAGCATTTTTCTTTTGATCTCCCTTATTCATTGTCCCACTTTCACAAACACGGAAGGCGACGGAAAACACCACGGCTTAGAAGAGAGAGAGATCATTGTCGTTGCGTGGTGTTGAGGCAAAATGGACTCATTGCTGAACCTCTCAGGTTTTCAGAGCCTGTGCATTGCACGAGGGGAGACTGCCCATCTTTCTCCCACAGAGCAGCTAGGGGTGGATTCGAACTGTGTGCCTTCGGGTTGGCAACGCAACTTCTTACGGCTGAAAGAGCTCCCTGAAAGGAGGTAAAGGGAAGCAAATTGTGTTTGCTTGTTTT